TATTGCCATTTTGATCTATTGATGTACTGCCATTTGTATGACTTGATAACACAAAGTTTTGAAGCGACACGATGATGAGAGAGTATCTGAATTCCGTAAGTTTCCACTATTTGGTGGTGACAGCCCATGTTGAAATCAAATCATAATCAGGCGTGGATTAATGATGGTCTTTTACTAAGATAATACTAAAGTCTAAAGGTCTATAGTATTACATCTACAGTTAGTGTTACTGACATGTTTAAGATTCAAAACGTAACAATTAATGACATGTAAACCCCACATTAATTCATATATGACTATGCAAGCTGCTCAATCGCATTACTTAAGTATTGCCCGGTCATTAGGCAGTTGCAGTGTATTTGTAAATTTATCTAGCTGCTGTTGTAGCTTGAAAATGCAAATTTAATGACAATTGCTTTGCGTTGACATCTTAGTTTTTATAAACACACCTTTCTAGATAAATATATTCATTATGAGCTTGAGAGATCTAATCTCTTTAGTTTGGGTGACTGCGCAGACAGTCCAGAATAGGAATTTTTGCTTACTGGCAATGTCCACCCATATTTGATTATTTCGCATTTTAAATAACATTTTAAGACTAAGCTGCACTACTGCTCTTCAAAACCATGTCTGCATTTTCAACAATAGAGATTTTAGTTTCCCTAGTAGTAGTAGTACTATAGCTCTAGTACCGGTACTATAGCCCGCGGATAGCTGGCTATAGTACTAGAGCTACCCTAGCTAGTACTTACCCGACCATGCAGGCTGTGTGACTAACGTCCACAGGACCAATACGTAACGTATATACCAATAGGGTATTCTAACCCTAGCAATACCGTTTCTTGGAGCCACCCTAGTACCTGCATGCTAGGATCCCCAGAATCCTATAGATCGATAGATCGATAGATCGAGCTACGTAAAATGCTAAGATTAGAATAAACAATTAGGTCCACACAGTCGGTTCAGCATAAACAACAATAAAGTCCTAGTAATATTCATTGATAAAATAACTATTTAATGATATTTTTGAATGGTTAGAAGATAAGAAGGTTATTGACATTTTTTCTTTGTATGAACCCTTTTTCATGTAACGGGATCTTTACGCAAATCAAAAGCAGACTACAACTGTAGTAAATGATGAGGACGGCGTGGAGTTGGAGGAAAACGCAATCCTGATATGTAGCAAGCCTGCTGATAAAAAGTAAGTCCAATTTATGAGCATGTTATTGCTCATGCAATACCACAATAACTTAGCTCTAGTTATATTTTAATTTTAAATTATAAATTAATGCTTCTGAGAAATTTAACTTTATCATTAAAATATTCTTCGAGATACAAGTATTTTTGTATTAAACAGTTCTTCAAAATAAAAATAAAATATGTGATCAATTAGACCTATAAGGTCTGAATAAACTGAATGATTTGGGAATGTATAAGTACTTATTTTCAATATTCATTATTCTAAAAGTTTCCTCTTAGAAATTACATCTTTCTTTGCTCAATATTTTGCTGTTAATGTTATACATTTTTACCAAATTCATGTGGCAGATATAATTTATTTTTAGCTTTTAACATGTAATATTTGTTGTCATTACCAGAAACCAAAGATTACCTTTATTTAGCATCTATTACCATGAAGTACGTAGGCTTCACCCCTCAAATGATACTAAGCATTTACCCAAACCGAAATTACCTATTTAATTTCCCTCCCTGTAAGAAAGATAAGAACAGTTAATAAATTGTTGTCTTATCATTGCAGGAAAAAATCACAATGGACCGAAGAGATGGAGAGAGAGCTACTGAAGGAGCTAGTTGT